TGTTACTAACCCTGAGATGTAGTGTTGTTCTCCAGTACTGCATAGTATTTTGGAAGAATGCAATGAGTGATGGATGTATTTTGAACATGTGTAAAATATGTAGCAGCCAACTGTGTGGAACACTGTCGAAAGCTTTTCTGTAGTCTATATACGCCATGTGTATGTTTCTGTGTTGTTTGTGTGCTTGCTGTAGAATGACTGAATCTATGAGTAACTGTTCTTTGCATCCCCCGTGATTTCTACGGCAACCTTTTTGTTGTTCCGTGAGAATGTCATGTTCTTCAACATGTTTGTATATTTTTTTTGCAATACAGGATGTCAATAATTTGTAGTGTTGGGAGACATGTAATTGGTCTGTATTGTAGTATCGTTGTTTTTAGGTTTCCTGCAGGTGATGCCCTGAATAAAAAATTTTGGCATGTCTTGTGGATTGATGATGATGATTGTTAGGTGTTTAGCTAGTTCTTAGTGCAGTGATGTAAATTTTTTATACCAGAAATTGTGAATGTTGTCTACACCAGGTGTCTTCCAGTTGTGTGTTCTGTTAACAGCATAGAGGATGTCGTGTAAATTTATTTCAGCACAGGGCATAGTTGGTATGTTGTGTAAGNCTTTTTATACCAGAAATTGTGAATGTTGTCTACACCAGGTGTCTTCCAGTTGTGTGTTCTGTTAACAGCATAGAGGATGTCGTGTAAATTTATTTCAGCACAGGGCATAGTTGGTATGTTGTGTAAGTTTCTGTTATTCTCCTCGATCTAGCCTGCATCAGCATTGTGTGTAACAGCATTGGACCAAAGAGAAGACCAATAAGTTTTGAGTTCTTCTTCTGTTGGTGTGCCACTGTGCTGTGTTTCAGTATTTGTTTTGGTACTGATTTGTCTGTAGAAAAGTTTTTCGTTGTTTGTGAATAATTTATTTTGTTGTTTTCGTAGTGTACATGTCTTGTATTGTTTGTGTCTGCGTGCTTTGTCTGCAAGTTTTTGTTTTAGTGTATCGACGTATTCTGTAATGTGTGTGTTGTGATGTTCGTGTTTTGTGTGTGTTTTGATTTTTTTGAAAATGTTTGTGAGTTGTTTCTTTAATTTGGGTGTTATGTTGTTTTTAGTGTTATTGTGTCAGCCTGTCTAATTGCTGTCTAATGTCATTTATTTGCATTTCTATTCTTCTCTGCAAGGCAGACTTGTGACACAATTGTGTTTTGTGTGTGTCCAAATAATAACATCACAAAGCCCGAGTAGTATACAATAAATCCCCAAACAATCGCCTAAATATCGGGCTATAATATGGCTAGTTAAATGATTGATACCAATCATTTAATTAGCCATATTATAGCACGATATTTAGGTGATCGTTTGGTGATTTTGTGTGTGTCTGTCTACAATTGTATTTTCAGTCCATGATATGTCACTCCCAGCATAAAATAATTTATGAATGTCTGAGAGTGTAGAAATTGAATGAACATACTTTGGTAGTGAGTGTTTACATAATTTAGTGTTTTTCTTACTTCCTTTGATGTGTTGATTTTTGGTATTCATGATCTTTGTGTGGGATCTGTTCCTGTATATTTAGTGAGTGTTTCCTGAAATATAAGTGAGAGTGTATTAACTAAATGTATGTCTATGTTATCAGTGTGGATGAAGAAGTGTTTCTAGTATCATTAGTAATAGTTGTTGTGTGTGCTGTAATCAGTACTTGTTGCTGGATTATCCTGACAGGTTACGTGATCTTCATTAATGTTAAGTGTTTCTGTCTGTTGATGTATTTGATCAGCAACCTGTTGTTTGATATGTTCTAGTGTTATTTGTGGTATAATGTTGTTGTGTATAATTGTTCTTTTTGATTAACAACCCTTTGTTCAGTGACAGTGAGGTGAGGATGTGATGTTTGTGAACGACATGTGTATAGACTACCGAATAGACTAGCACAAAGAATACTTAGTAAACTCTTTTAATCACAAGTATTTTATTTGCCGCTCATGAACTAGGTTCTTTTTTGGATCCCACTCCACTAAATTTACACTATACACATTAATCGGTTGTTTAGTACCACAAGTAAATTTGCGACAATAGTACACGTGCAGGAACTAAAATCTAACACTTACTAAATTATATCTAAAGGCATAGCAGATTCTATGAGACAGCAAACAGGAAAGATCACAATACCCAGTGTTTTGGGATTATCTCATGGTCACTAGATGATCACTGATTTGGATTTTAGTTATATACTGATGTAATCTTCTATCTCTTTCTAATATTAGGACCTCGATCAACGCTGACCCTAGAGTTCTCTATTCGTCCTTAGTAACCAAATAATTCTGAGGGAAGGACTTCCCTCAGAATTATTCAGTCACAAGTCACCTCTGATCTAGAGCACCTCTCTGTTCTCTCTACTGACTACCATGAAGGCCCAGTCCAGACTAACTTGTTCTTTATGCTTGTCAGCCTTCGGGTCTTGGCCCTCCCTTTGTTTCAAATTTTTGGAAATGGTAACTCATTGTCTTTAGTTCTGGGGATTAGTGGTCCATTGTCTTCACTTCTTGGAATTGGTGGTGTCATCCAGAGGGAAGAAAGGAAATTAAAAGAAAGTTCTAGACAGACTGAGAACAAAGGAAATAAGGAACTATTAAAAACTATCTTACAAACTAACGAAAAAAATATGTAACAATATGGCCGATGGCCACAAGGATATTTTTGTGTGAATCTATGGTGTAGTTGTTGTCTGTACGCTGTCATGTTTATTTTGAGTCTTGTGATTGTGTAGTAAGTACAGATGATAAACTTATTCATTTCTATTGTCCATTTCACCCATTGGCATGGTTTTCCAGCCTTTGTGGTCTGGGGGTGAATTGCAACAAAAATACAAAGATTGAGATGGTTCCTCACTTCTGTTGAGGAACCAACTCAATGGTTGCAGTATCCATGCTNTGTTAGGCTTAACATTGATGAAAATTCAATGCGAAGTTGGTTAATAGCGATATACTAATATACTATACTAATAATGTATTTTTTCATACTTTTCAGTTATCCGTTTTTTCAATTATCCGACCAACCCCAGTCCCCAATTGAGTTGGATGATCGATACTCTACTGTATTTACTTTTTACTTGTTTCATAAGATTTCTTTGTGTCCTTAAACTTCTCAAATGAGTTTTTCAGTTCTCTTTTTAGATAATATTCTGATACAATCTGGATCAAACATTGATATATCAATACCAGAATTTTCGCATTGCATAATGGAAGAGAGGCTTTAAAGAACTTAGAGATTTTAAAGAAAGAAAAGAATCAAATGAATCATGTGGTGGAAAAATTGGCAAAGATCCTACTTAGAAAACCTAAATAGTATAATTAGTAATGTTGCCTGCTTACCTTGCAATACTTGCGATAACGTGTTTTGAATGCAACTCTAGGCTAAATCTTTTAGTTTAGATCTCTCTAAACTAATCAGAATTAATTTCTAATTATTAAATTTACTGAAAACAGCACTTAAGACATTTAATGTCAAATTATGCTAATTAATTACCACATAAAATCAGCCATTTAATTTCAATAATTCTTAAGTTATTTCTGATTTCTGTCCTTATCATACATTCTTTTATAAAACAAAGCCACATATTGATTATTTAAAAAATTCCATTATTTTTTTTTACATCTTTCCACCCTGTGGGCACTAAGAAATCCTCTTTAAGCAAGCCCATTATGGGTTCAGCCAGGTCCACAATAGAGTAACAAGACAATGAGGGATGGGGGTTGACATATCTGATCAGACCACCCCCTGAAAAATTCTTGAGAATTTTTCAGCCCATCTGGATTTGATCCTGGTCCCCTAGAGCAGTGGGCTACCACCATAACCACTCAGCCTTCCGGCTGTCAAACTTCCAGTATTATAAAATATATAGTAATCTCTTAACAGTTCAATGTCTTAAGCTTGACCCATGACCTAAGTGACAAAGTTTCTGGTCCTAAGATTTGTCCACTAAATCTAGGTCCTACTTTATATGATTGGTTATCAAATCATGCTTTGGTTTATTGCATATTTATAACAGAATTCACTAAAAATTGCTTTTCAACCAAAATTAAATATGTAACATATAAAAAAATAAAATAATTTAAAAAAAAACAAACTACAGTTTAATCAATATAATTTAGAGTTACTAATCAGATTAATTTAATGAAAATAAAACAAATCTGTTTATAATTATCTGTTGAAAAGCAAAAAATATCATAAAAATGATTATCATTAAATTCACTTATTCATAAATCTAGTTTTAATTCCACTTTTTAAATTTTCTTACCTTTCTCTGAATAGGTGTTGGAACTTTATATCCTTTTTTCAAAACTCCTTTCAAAACTGAATAACTCAGACCTATAATAGAAATTACATTGAATACAATTAATAAGGTAATGAACATTATAGTAAAATTTAATGATAATATATTATTTTGTACTGTTAATGTGAACCCACATTTTCTGTATACTAGAATATGCTTTATAGAGTATATTATAGAGTATAGAGTAAATGTAACAGATTATCACCATATGAATATCATATAGTAAAACCAAAAAAAATCTTTTATCTATATCAAATGCAATAAAGTATAAAAAATCCAAACTAATTTGGACCAAACTACATATGGATTTTCAAATATATGTGTAAACTATCATTTTGAGCACCATAAATGCCAAATACACTGTGATTCAAGTTTAAGTGTTCAAAGTTCAAGTCAGTATTTCATAAGTAATGTAGAAATACTTACAAAGATTGTAAATACAATTTACAGAATCATTATATTTAAGCAAAAACTACACTAATCTCAGATTTTTTAAGAAATTAAAAGTCCTATTCTACTCAGGGTTTTAATTTTTTTTTTTATTAAAACAACCAATTTAAAGCCAAATAATTTGCCAGATTAATCAACCTTAATCAAAAAAATTGGGTTAATAGATGTTTATATTTGAATCAATTTATATATAATCAGTAAAATATGTAATAAATAATTACCTCTTTAGTAAATTTAAAAGTCTGTAAAGCTAATTCCCTTGTTGGAGACAAAATAAGTGCACGAGCTCCTGTTTTAGCAGAATGAGTTTTGAGTTTTTCAAACATTGGTAATAAAAATGCAGCTGTCTTTCCACTTCCAGTTCTTGCCATTGCAACAACATCTTTCTCTTCTATGATTAGAGGAATAGTCTAAACAAAGTAAGTATAATTAATGCTCATGAAGATAAATTTATCAAATAATCAGTAAGTTTTTAAACATTCTGTCTATCATTTATTAGAAAGGGAGAGTTTTAACTGTTTGTGCCAAACACTTGTATTGAAATGTTATTTTATTAACAATAATTTTACTGTTTAGTTCAAAAAATCAAATGATTTTTTCTTCAAAAATGTTTTTAAGAATGTCACCTGCTTGAATTTTCCAAAATGGAATTATAGTTTGTTATCAAGCACTATTAATCAATGTTTTCTAAATCTAAACACTTTCATCTTCACATTCTACTTTAAGTATAGTAATATTTTATCATCATCATTAATTAAATTTAATTACTTTTTATACATGATGGGTTTTTTTAATCTTTCAATATCATTTTCTGTAATGTTTGGCAAATATTAACCATATGGTGGTGCTTTTTTAGTGGATTAGAAAATGTTAATTATTTTCAACCAAAATTTCTATTTATGAATGTAATTTCAATTTCAATTTTATCACTACTAGTGGTTTTTCTCTGCTTACTTAATATACACCTATATTCCTCAAGTTACAGTAGAGCATCGATTATCCGACCCTCGATCAACCGTCACATCGGTTAACCGACTGCGTTCTAGTCGGCAAATTCAAATGTCCGATGGTGATGCGGCGCTATAATATTTGGCTATGTCTTGGCTACTTAAATATTATTTTCGTTAAATTTTTGGTGTTTTAGCTGGCAACACGGCTCGACCATTGAAGGGAGACCAGTATTTAAACAAGACTTAATTTTCTAATTATGAGTGGTTGTTTGTTTTGTGAACAATAAAATAATTTTTAACAATACAATAGCGACGATTATTATTTTAAAAAAAAAAGTTGTTAGGCTTAACATTGATGAAAATTCAATGCGAAGTTGGTTAATAGCGATATACTAATATACTATACTAATAATGTATTTTTTCATACTTTTCAGTTATCCGTTTTTTCAATTATCCGACCAACCCCAGTCCCCAATTGAGTTGGATGATCGATACTCTACTGTATTTACTTTTTACTTGTTTCATAAGATTTCTTTGTGTCCTTAAACTTCTCAAATGAGTTTTTCAGTTCTCTTTTTAGATAATATTCTGATACAATCTGGATCAAACATTGATATATCAATACCAGAATTTTCGCATTGCATAATGGAAGAGAGGCTTTAAAGAACTTAGAGATTTTAAAGAAAGAAAAGAATCAAATGAATCATGTGGTGGAAAAATTGGCAAAGATCCTACTTAGAAAACCTAAATAGTATAATTAGTAATGTTGCCTGCTTACCTTGCAATACTTGCGATAACGTGTTTTGAATGCAACTCTAGGCTAAATCTTTTAGTTTAGATCTCTCTAAACTAATCAGAATTAATTTCTAATTATTAAATTTACTGAAAACAGCACTTAAGACATTTAATGTCAAATTATGCTAATTAATTACCACATAAAATCAGCCATTTAATTTCAATAATTCTTAAGTTATTTCTGATTTCTGTCCTTATCATACATTCTTTTATAAAACAAAGCCACATATTGATTATTTAAAAAATTCCATTATTTTTTTTTACATCTTTCCACCCTGTGGGCACTAAGAAATCCTCTTTAAGCAAGCCCATTATGGGTTCAGCCAGGTCCACAATAGAGTAACAAGACAATGAGGGATGGGGGTTGACATATCTGATCAGACCACCCCCTGAAAAATTCTTGAGAATTTTTCAGCCCATCTGGATTTGATCCTGGTCCCCTAGAGCAGTGGGCTACCACCATAACCACTCAGCCTTCCGGCTGTCAAACTTCCAGTATTATAAAATATATAGTAATCTCTTAACAGTTCAATGTCTTAAGCTTGACCCATGACCTAAGTGACAAAGTTTCTGGTCCTAAGATTTGTCCACTAAATCTAGGTCCTACTTTATATGATTGGTTATCAAATCATGCTTTGGTTTATTGCATATTTATAACAGAATTCACTAAAAATTGCTTTTCAACCAAAATTAAATATGTAACATATAAAAAAATAAAATAATTTAAAAAAAAACAAACTACAGTTTAATCAATATAATTTAGAGTTACTAATCAGATTAATTTAATGAAAATAAAACAAATCTGTTTATAATTATCTGTTGAAAAGCAAAAAATATCATAAAAATGATTATCATTAAATTCACTTATTCATAAATCTAGTTTTAATTCCACTTTTTAAATTTTCTTACCTTTCTCTGAATAGGTGTTGGAACTTTATATCCTTTTTTCAAAACTCCTTTCAAAACTGAATAACTCAGACCTATAATAGAAATTACATTGAATACAATTAATAAGGTAATGAACATTATAGTAAAATTTAATGATAATATATTATTTTGTACTGTTAATGTGAACCCACATTTTCTGTATACTAGAATATGCTTTATAGAGTATATTATAGAGTATAGAGTAAATGTAACAGATTATCACCATATGAATATCATATAGTAAAACCAAAAAAAATCTTTTATCTATATCAAATGCAATAAAGTATAAAAAATCCAAACTAATTTGGACCAAACTACATATGGATTTTCAAATATATGTGTAAACTATCATTTTGAGCACCATAAATGCCAAATACACTTCAAGTCAGTATTTCATAAGTAATGTAGAAATACTTACAAAGATTGTAAATACAATTTACAGAATCATTATATTTAAGCAAAAACTACACTAATCATAATCTGATAATTTAAAAATTATAAATTCTATATGAATATTAAAATATAAATAACATTTTTGATGTTCTCCATAAAAATGCCATATTTTTGTAAACAAATTTAATTTTATTTAACTTCTTACAGTAAACTAATTCAAAATATTATAATATAGAAATTTTGATTGCCTAGTAATCCTTAATCTGTAAATTATACAACCTTGACCAACTTCATTCTGAAAATTGTTAATACAAATTTTTGATAAAGCAAACTAACTACTGTTCCCCTAGCAGTCCCCCAAGTTGACAGTATATTTGATGTATTTATTCTAAGGGTATGTCCTATGTGACAGCATCCAGCAACTGTGGGCATGAACACACTTCCAAGCAGAGTGAATAAACTGGTTAAAGCAAATGTGCATGTCTGAAGTAATTGCGTTTAGTGTGCATCAACCACCAGATGATGATTCTACACACGTGTGAAGGAAGTGGCTACCAAGAAAGTTTGATTGCCACTTCCATTGCTTGCACTTCCAAAGAAGAAAATGGCTGATTTTGTAGATAAATAAAAACAGAATGACAAATAAATTGTGCATTTACTTTAATTAATAATCTTTAACGTAATTGAATAATTTCTGATTTTGTAAATGTAACATTTTAAAAATAAAAAACACTAACATAAAACCTGTTAACCAGAGTAATTGCATACTAGGGTAGCTAATGTTTTTGAGGCCCCTTCTGGGCTCTTCTTCAGGCTATTGTGCAAAAAAGAAGTCAGACGTTATAAATCGAATAATTTCCTGTTGAATCGATGTCATTTGAATCATAACACGTGGAAACCTTCCAGGAAATTTAAAATAAAACGAGTTACGTTTAGTGTAAAGAGCATGCACATCTTATTGATGATGAAATATTTAAATATTATTATGTAGAGGATCTGCCATGCTGTTGGAAGAACCATCTCATCTTTAAAATTAATGAATGTGGTGGTGCTACATCCTGCTCTGAATATTTCTATAGCCTCCAAGATTTTGAGATGTTCCAGGTGGTTGGTAGTGATGATAATGCATGCTGCATTAAAGTCCTCTGTGATGTCCTGATTGGTGGCATATGTAGAGAGAGCTGTTGTCAATTTGTTGTGTAATATGTCTGCCTTATATTCTTTAATCCTTATCCCCAATGTATGTTTGGTGGAGCCAATGTAAACCATATCTCTGTCAAATCTGTGGTCTCTGAGCGGAATGGTGTATATTCCCGGTAGTCTGATTGGATTAGGAGAATCTTTTCCGTTACGGAGTATTTGGAAAATGGTTTGACATCTTCTGTATGCTATATTGACTTGTCTTCTCTTGGCTATCATAGTGTATAATGATTTTAAATGTGGATTAAAAGTGATGGGGATCATTTCTGTATTTTTTTTTTTGATTATCTAATGGTCCCTCCGTCAGATTGGTGTATGCTTCCTGGCTGTTTGTATATCATCTACATAATCCACGCTACAGTTTTGGATTTCAGATCTTTATATCCGTCAATTGAACTACAACCTTGTTTCTGTGCACTCGGGGACTTCCTCTTCTCTAAGGTCAATGATGGATCACTGCACCAAGAGGTTCTTGAGCTTTCACACTTAGTTTGTTATAGCTCTGTATTCCAATTTAATGGGATTATTTACACACAGGGTAAAGGTGTTCCCATGGAAAGCCCTGTATATGGGGATCTATGTGAAATGATAGTCGGACTATTAGAAAATACCACTCTTCTTAACTTCCTATCCAATGTGATACTCTATAAACGATACATAGATGATATCATCATCCTTTGGAGGACAGAACCGAATCTACAACAATTTGTTAATGCGATGAACAAGAATCCTTACGGTCTGCTAATTGAAGTAAAGCAACATAGTAACTCAAAGGTCCATTTCTTAGACATCAACATCACATTTGAAGACCGAACATACATACTTCAGTGTATTGTAAAACTAGTACCACCTCCATGTATATTCTGATAGGATCCTGTAATCCATTTCAGTAAAAAGTGGCTGCCTTCAGGGCTTTAGTTAGGAGCTTTTACGCACTCGTTTTCTCTCCAGGCACTAACTCAGGAAATCAAACACATAGAAGAAATAGCAGCAGCCCACGGGTATACACCAACCTTATACGTGGGTTATGTAGACGATATACAAACAGCCAGGAAGCATACACCAATCCGATGGAGGGACTATTAGATAATCAAAAAAAATTATAGAAATGATCCCCATCACTTTTAATCCACATTTAAAATCATTATACACTATGATAGCCAAGAGAAGACAAGTCAATATAGCGTACAGAAGATGTCAAACCATTTTCCAAATACTCCGTAACGGAAAAGATTCTCCTAATCCAATCAGACTACCGGGAATATATACCATTCCGCTCAGAGACCACAGATTTGACAGAGATATGGTTTACATTAGCTCCACCAAACATACATTGGGATAAGGATTAAAGAATATAAGGCAAACATATTACACAACAAATTGACAACAGCTCTCTCAACATATGCCACCGATCAAGATATCACAGAGGACTTTAATGCAGTGCGCATTATCATCACTACCAACCACCTGGAACATCTCAAAGTCTTGGAGGCTGTGGAAATATTCTGAGCAAGATGTAGCACCATGTGCATTAATTTTAAAGACAAGATGCCCCTTTCAACAGCGTGGCAGATCCTGCTACAAAATAATATTCAAATATTTCATCATCATTAAGATGCACATGCTCTTTATACTAAACGTAACTCGTTTTATTTTAAATCTCCTGGAAGGTTTCCACTAGGGTTTCTCATTTCCCAGGAAATTTGCCTCCAGCGGGATTACGGGACAAATAATTTCTTTTCCTGGGATCCCGGGAAATTCCGGGATGAGATAGTAAAATAGAATTTTATATGAATTAAAAAGATCATACAAAAATATCATAAATTCAAATAATTTAATTTATTTTCTAGTAAGTAACTAAAAATGTAGGGCCAATCTCATCCATACGGACAGGTTAGGCTCAATTAATTTATGTTCTCCTACATTATAAGATGAAAGTAAAACAAAGCGTTTCATTGGGAGTTTTAATGATTACGAAAAAAATACTAATTATTTCTAAAGATGAAATAAAAAATAAAGTGCGATGAGTGATATTTACTTTCAGCAAGTCTCTGCTGTTCAATGATGAGCAAACACAATACATAGATATTACACTAGCTGTTACCCGCGACTTCGTCCGCGGAGGTTTTGCAAGCAAACCCCATTTACATTCAATATTTCAATAACCATAGTAATTGTTATATAACACCTACCGCTGAAGAGAATTGCCGAGAATCAAACGAACTATTTTCAATTTGATCNAATATTTAAATTTATTCAAAAATTGAAATAATATAAAGAAAACGAAATTAAATCTAAAGTCACGAAAGGTTTATTATCATTTAATCAGAAGATAGAAAAATTTCGAATAATTGACGTAACGATTAGTGATTAAATAATGAATTTCACACAATTGGTTAAACGTAGAACAAATTAAAAATTTAACAATTAAAAGAACATAAATGGAAGAGGAAAAAAAAAGGAAATTAACTTTTTACATTATCATTAATCCACGAAACTTACATAGATATAATTCAAAAGTGAAGCATCAGTAAAGTAGAAGAAAGAAATAAAAAATAAAAAAAAAGTCACGTCATTTTTTGTCTTCATTGTGCAAGATCTCTTCTTTAGCCATCAGAGTAGCTTAACGACCTTCTTCTTCGCCCTTTCTCTTAAGAGCTGCTAGCTCTGTTTTAATAAGTTGGCGTAGAGAAGAGTCAGAAATTGAAACTAACGACATCAGGGAGTTTCTTTCCCCCTCTACCACCTTTGTTGGGTTGGATGTACATTCACCAGATTTAGCCACGACCGACGAAGTATCTGATTTATAAGTCGTCCGATTGGACTCCTGGGGACATCCAAGCGCACTTCTGATTTATACCACACGTCGTTTGTTGGTCCCTATAGGGCGGGAACTCATTAACATGATATGTCTTCTCCTTGTTCCTGGCGACCGTCTAGTAGGCTTGTAATTAGTGCTTTCTCTTACAGGCGATAAAATCTTGCACCGAGACAGACCTTCTAGCTTGGGAGGACAATAAATAGCTAGAAGACTTGCTTTATCCATTTACTACAGCAGAACCGTTCTAGACAGCAGAGTAATAAGTGTACAAACACATTTTCTATATCTTTTTCTTACTACTGAACTTTACTCCTATCTTTTCTAGAATGTTTAAGGATTTTCTCTTTTTTTTATTTCCATTCTAATTTTATTTTTAGTACGTGTAAAAAACTTTAAATCTCATTTTATTCGTGTAATTTTTTTTGTTAAAAAATTAATTAAGGAACCGAAACGTTGCTGTTTAAAATTTACATTTTAATTAATTTAATATGTAATTTTGAAATTTGAGTTTTGAATGTATTTATCTATTTATAAATTTAAATTATTAAATGTCGTAGTATAATTTATCAAAAATTAAAATATTTTAACTTATAAATATTTATCTACGATGAGATTTTTACATATAAATCATCGAAAGTTGAGAAC